GTTGCTCGCACACTGAAGCAAGCAGGACAACAGGTTGCTTTTGCTGGTACGAATCTGCATTGATGTATGTTGTCTGTCGGAAACAAGAATGCAGGACTCAAGTACTGTGATCGAACAGACTGCTGTTCCGACTGTGCACCTCCGGTGGCACAGAGGTTGCTTCAGCTGTACATGCTGGCATGAGTATTGTATTGAGCAACAGAGCGGAAGCGTCTCTACTTGATTCGATACCCGTTGATAGTCGCCTCTGTACGGTTCGTTTGGCAACGTCTGTGAGGGAACCTAGAGGAAGTGAGGTCCATCGGATCCTGTTTATTGTGTCTGCTTACGCCCCAGCTGACTGTAGCTCTAGAATACGGCCAGCCTACATTGGTTATACTTAGGACTACAGGAAGAACAACATTATGCACCCAGGTCCGTTTTAGATATTCGCGGATTGAGTTGTAAACTTCGTCCACTTAAACTGAAAATGTTTTCCCCAGATTACTGTTGTTATCACGACGATTTAATTTACGCCTGGAGAACACTTAGATTCGGCTTGGGAAGAGAGCTTTGTCCGTGTTTCACTCGCAACTGTGAATGACCAACTGGAAGGCACCATTGCAAAGTTATCAAGCTGTGGGGAAATTGTCTCCCACCAGCTTTCGTGGTATTGGCTCGCGCCATCTGACCGGAACAATCTTCCTGCTGCTGATGCTCTTATGGCTGGTCTCAAGATGCCCGATTCAAATACGAGGTAAAAATCAGACATGGGGGTTGTGGTGCAGTCACTCTGATTATCCACTGACATGTCGCACTGCCTTAACTCCGCCTATGTCTTCTGTTATGACATGTTACGAAGATGATAAGGCCTGTCTCTCCTGCTCCTCTTACTGGCGTATGCATCAGTCCATATGCAGACCAATCAGGTCCGTAATCCGTAGCCGACCATCACACCTTCGTCCACTCGGCGTGATACTTGTTTATTCCAGGTGACCTACCTCAGGATACCATCTTGAGTGTACTGTTCATCCGACAGCGGTTTGGATTTGACCCATGAGAGATGCACATACTACTACAGCAAAGGTGTAGATCTATGATCTATTCGAGGTAGGTCTGTATTTGCCCTCGGTTTCAGAGTTGGGGCATGGTTTTCTGGTGCTCCTCGTGACTGCTGAACTCTTGGGTTTTCGAGCTGGCTCAACCGTCAAAGTGCACATTTGCTGACCGGAAGGACCGTGGTTGAAACCCACCCTCAACATCTCAACTGCTCCTGTCTAGACTTGGGCAACTTGGGGTTTTCCAAGCCCTCGTGCTGTGCTTCCTTCGGATGAAATGGCAGCTAGGCATCAAAAGGTGTCACGGCTGAACGATTATTATTATTGATAATATTAATATTATTAGGTGTTTTCTGTTTTCGAGTCGCATTCTTGTGGTTATTCGCACGATGCGCCCACATCTGTAACCGGAATCAAGCTGCGTGCAATGTGTTGCCGCGTACGCATAGTATTTCACAAACCAACAGATCATTTAAATTTTCATCTCAGCTTTTATGTGCATCTTCATGTTATGCCGTCATGCTGGTGATCTTTATGAATGAAACAGCACATTTATAAAGTATCAGAACCGGCGGCGGTAGCCGTCTTGAAGGCGCCCACGTATTGTTCGAATTTGGTTTGTTGAAATGGTGGTCCACGATCTTATCTATTCAACCACCATACCCTCCTTGGAATCTAGATCATCTAGATCATCCATCTAGATCAGAGACGTAGGCTTGAGTGGTTGGTGGCGTAGCAAGCGCCACTGAACTGGACCTCAGCGAATAGCCCAACCTGCCAGTCAGCCTTCCATCGGCTGCATTACTAACATTACACTTTCTGAGTTCAGCTGTTGGCCTCCCGAGCACATTCCACGTTTGCATCAAGATCGGAGTGAGGTCAGGATTTGTACTAAGTTGGAACTAGCCTACCATTCCTACCGAATTTCAATTAACCAGGTGAATCTTTCGTGAAAGTATCACAACCCATTTGTGCATTCTGTCAGATTTGGGCCTCGATGTTCCGTCTGCAGCATTCTTTGTGGGTCTTTCGATTGAGCTTGGTGTACTTGAAGCTTTGCCACGAATGTTCGTCACAAAATCAGCGGCATGTGGGAGGTTTTACTGGACTTCGTTTGGTATATGATATGTAGCTTATCTTGTCCTTCACACCAGGCCTGACGATCTTCCTCACTGCCGCGTCAGCCCCGAGGTTTATGAGATGCTCCTGGCGTTTGGTGGTAAGTGTCTGAAGCGTGAGCTTGTGGTCTTGTTCACTTGATCCAGCACCCAGATCCTGTATTTGGTCCCGCTTTGTATGGTTTCTGTTATTTACGTGCGATATTTGCAAAATACCCACAATAATAGGCAGCAGATTAGAATATCCTAGAGCTATATGATCTCAAATCTCACTGATTCCCCATACATGTTCGAAAAAAACAAGATGACCATTTTTGATAGCGGGAGTATCTCTGTAGCCCGGGTGTTACAGGCAGGTAAAGGCGAGTCGATAATAAAACTAAAGAGAGGGTAACAGAGGATACCCCAGCCTGACAGCACCTGGTGTAGTGAATTCAAGAGAGAATTTGCCATAGACACGTACGCGTCCTTGGAAAGAAACATATGGAGTCTTCATAAGAGACAAGAGTTTAGCACGAACACCATCGCCAGACACTGCCACAGTTTCTGATGATCAACGGGGTCAAAAGCAGATTTGCGATTGAAAGTGACGATCATTCCTAGTCGTCAGGATGAGTGGGGTAGTTCCATTCTTGTCTGAAGGTGAAATGATGATCGATTCAACCCCAGTCGGAGCGAAACCCAGCTTGATTCTGGCGAATCTGGCTCCCCGATGGTCTATCAACTGTGGTAAGATAATACAAGAGAGCACCTTGGGAATTGCGGTCACTAGACTGTTGCCCCAATCGTTTTCGGCAACGTCCTTTCAATGTTTTTGAAATTAGGGATCATCATCAAATCGCTCCATTCTGTCAGTATTCTTTCCTCGAATCTGGCTCCCCGATGGTCTATCAACTGTGGTAAGATGATACAGGAGGGCACCTTGGGAGCTGCGGTCACTGGACTGATGCCCCAATCGTTTTCGGCAACATCCTTGCAATCTTTTTGAAAGTAGGGATCACCATCAAATCGCTCCATTCTGTCAGTGTTCTTTCCTCACCCCATATAATTTAGAGTAAATTCGTCAGGGTAGGGACTCGCCACCTTCTTTGAGGAGTGAGTAATACAAACATCTGGACCAGGTGCATTGTTGCACAGAAGCAGATGTTGCACGCTAAACTTCCGTTGTCGATGGTGAACTTGTATCCACGTTCCACTTGGGGTCATTTGGTTCTTTCAGAGGCTTGATGGGGGACAGCTGAACTGTTCTTCAAAGTGTCCAGCCCACCGCTCAAGACGACGTTCCTGCAAGTAAATTGAGGTCCCATCTTTGTCGGAAATCGGCCTACCAACAACCACTTTCGGACCGGTTGGTCGGATTACCTAGGACAGCGTGTGACTGTTTCCTGTAACAAAGTCTCCCACCATCTGTCGGGCTTTTTCAATCCACCAGTGCTCCCTCTCAATCCTCAGGTTCTTAATTCCTCGGCATTCGAGGGCTATGGGGGTCA